TCATCTGCCATTTGAACACTTTCTCCTGTAGTTCTACTTCTGAATCTGCCATCAGTGCCACATCATCAGCAAAGATGAGTTCCCAAGGCACTTCTGTTCTTACCTCCTCTGTCAGTGTGTCAATAATGTTGATAAAAAGGAAAGGACTTAGTGCTGATCCTTGGTGTACTCCAACTGTGATTTCAAACTCTTTTGTCTCTCCCCGTTGTGTGACCACCTTCGTAGTTGCATCTCTATAGGTTGATGGAACTAACTTCACCATGCTTTCTGGTACTCCTTTCTTCCTCAAGCACCAACACACCACCTCTCTGGGCACACGGTCATATGCCTTCTCCAAGTCCAGAAAGGCCACATACAGCTTTTTCGCTTTCTCTAGTGTCTTCTCCTGTAACTGTCTCATCACAAAAATGGCATCTGTTGTGCTGTTCCCAGCTGAGAATCCAAATTGTGAGTTGTGGATCCTGACTATCTTCCATGGTTGCATGATATTAAAACATAATACATAAAAATAAAACATTATATTATAAGATATTAAAATAATGTATTTAAAAATAACAGCATAAATCACACTTATTTAATTTACATTTACCCATTATTTACTATGTAAAAAAATATATTGTGTTAATGTACTCAGGTGGTAGGACCAGCTGCTAATTTATGTGTTGTACTAATGACAGGTAGAGCATGTCTTTACTTAATGCTTTATAAACTTTAAAAGATACTATAAGAAAAGTAATTACAGCACACACTTAAAGCATTTCCCACAAAACATATAGCAATTAAAATAACATATAAAAGACCATAATGACTCAGAAAAAAAGCATACATGTCCTTTTCAATGCCACAGTTAAAAAAGAGACTGTAGTCATAAGCAGAAAGAGAAGCTATAAAGAAATGTTTTTGGTATGAAGGCTCAAGGACATATACAATATATTAACAACATATACAATACACTAACTTCAAATCATGTTTGTTTTATAAAATCTGAATGTCTGCAATAATGTTGTTACTTTTATTTTGATAACCTGTGACGCTGAATGAAGTCCAATTATCCAAACAAAGGTATGCACAAAATGTATTTGAAACTTCAACAGATGTCCCTAATGTAATTATAACAAAAACATTACCCTATTCTAAGTTTCTGTTCTGCTAGAGATATGAAGACATAATGGATTGGAACGGCTTTAAACCTCAATTAGAGGGCATATCACGATGTTTCTTCAAAGTCCAACTTTTGTTGATGAGATGTGCCTCAGTTCTTACGTGCTTATGAGAAGTTTGCTGTATAAATAAGGAGACCGTAAGCATATGTGACTGTTTTTTGTTTAAAGTGCCTAGGAGCATTGTGGAAACAAGATACTTTTGATAATATTTCTTTCTTTTAAAATAATCCAGAAAGAAAAATTAAATGGTGTTTGTGTTTGGGGGGTGGGGGTGGGATGAAGATCAAAGATGTGATGTACAGAAAAAAGAATACACTGGCCTTCGCCTGCTGAAGATCATGCTGGTACCATATGATGTCAATTAGGATCATTTAGTGACCTATGTACTGTATCTTCAGATGGTGCAACAAAAATATATGATCTCATAATTTATCACAATAATCTCAGTATTATTTTTTGTTTCTCACATTTCTTGTTTGAAGGAGTTTGGCCTGGAATATGTTCTCTGATTTTTAGCACCTCACTTGCCAAGCAGCCTGGAGACAGTGCTAGTATTGGCTCCTAGTACAGGATTAGCAATTAGAGCTCAATTCAGTAAAAGATCAAACATTAAATCACATCTATTTCAACTCGGAATACTATTAAATTGGATTACATACTACTGTATAGTGTATATATACTGTATACTGTATCTTAAACTATATTAAGAGGTTTAAACTTCGGTTACAGACAGATGTGACCCTTTTCAATCAAATTACTTTTTTTCCATGAAGATACATTTAATTACACCTTCACTCTACACTATGATGTAGTGCCTATTTCCCAATTGGTTATTGACCACGAATTTTCTATACTCATGTTTCCGCATTCTACACAGTCAATAATAATTATTTTGAAATTCGAAGAAAAAATGTTCTGGAGTGCCCCTGAGATAAATTTGGATTTGTTGAAACTCTCCATTGTATTACAGTTTCACATTCCTATCATTCTGCCCCACTTCTAATTTTCATTTAATTTTTTTTTTCAATATGAGATTCAATTGTCAATTGTCAGTCTTTTCTTGGATGATCACCTTATCTGTGGATCTGAAGATGGTTGATGAAGCCAATCTGGTATAGACAGACTCTACTGCGTTTTGTATATGTGTCCCCAATTAGATTAAGAAGTCCAGGGTTGATGACCACTTTCACAACACTCTGCTTCTAAAGTTACCATTTTTCAGTCTCATGTTATCATTGTACAGTTTGCTGAAATATAATTCCTGGCCACCTGAGATAGAACTAGAAAATAGTTTCTAACCACATGGTGTCCATGTTGCACTGAAAAATGTAGGCCTTGTGGACATCTTTAGATCTTTAGACCTCTAAGAGCTGTGTCTTATCTTGCATATGATCATCCAAGTGCGGGATGTTTGCTTCTTGTAACTTCTACATTCCAGCCAGTACATGACTGGAAACAGTTCTGCTCCCACCATGATTACCTGGCCACTAAAAGGTTTGGTAAAAGGGCTGGAAGATTTTGCTTTTAGTGAAGATGTCTGCATGATGCTTAATTTAGAGAAGTCGTTGTACACTAGCTGTTACACATCTTTCGTAAGAATGCTCTTGAAAGACAGGGGCCTTGATCTAATGGCAGGCATGACTGGATGACATGCCTGCAGCCTTCATTTACTTTCTCCGCTAGGGAGATTTTGACATTGTCTTCTACCTGTTCTGTCATTCAGCCATTCAAAGTCTTTTTGCAGAGTACTGAACTTAGTAACAGCAGCTCTTAATGTCAGTAAAGGTTATTGATCAAACCTTCACAAGTTGATTAAACAGTTGGGATTTGAAAATCTCATGGCATTTCTCCTCATATGTCCAGTTCCTTTTTAACCACAAAGGGAGAGTGCAGTGAAATATATGGTTTGTGAAAAGACTAAGAAATGTCTGATGAAAAATAAATTTGCTTTCAGCTTCATCTCAATTAACCAAATGTCAAGTGACACCTAGCTGGATGAATGGAAACATCATTTTAACGTGGGTAACTCAGCACCAGTACACCCTGCTGAAAGCTGTTCCAGGACTCATCACACACAATCAGGTAGCCAACTGACAGTGACTGACACTTTTGTTAGTAACAGGAAAGTGTAATACAATTTTAAAAGAATTCCTTTAACCTCTATTTTTGATTAAGAACAGTATAACTTTCATCTCTGCTTTTTGAGAAGCTACTTTTAAAGGTGCAATATAAAGTTTATTCGTACTCCTCTAAAAATACTACTCACCTTCACTTTAATTTTAGGCTTAAATACACAGATACATTAGCTAATCAATGGCCTGCTAGATGTATTAGTATTTAAATAAGATATGTGGAAAAAATAGTCTTGATAACATACAAGAGAACTGGAATAATGTGCAGTTCTATAATGTTGTATTTGGATATATCAGTTAAGCATAATAAAAATACCAAAAATTAAAAGCTGACCTGCAATTATTGAATTGTATTTATTCACATCTGCATTCATACATCTATGTTAAAATACTGACAGAATAACTAATCTCTGTCAGTGATATTGTAAATTACATTAATTCATCCCATACGGTCGATGATTAGTTGTACAATTTGTTTTGTATATACTCCACAGGATAGTGGGGTCAGTCTTTTGCATATATCACACACATGCAAGATTTCATGTCTTCTATTCCATAAAACCAGTTACAGGTAAGTTGTGAGCCCCAATAAATGATTTGGATTTGCTCAACCTTTTTCATTCAGGAGTAGGAATTTGTCATACCTTGGAGTAAAATATGACATTTCTGCTCAATCAAAACTGTGTCTGTGTTAAAATATGGATAAAATGCACCATTTACTGGTACCTTTTGTTCATTGCATGAAACGTTTATATAAAATATAAAAAAGAACAAGTAAACCAAAATGAATTTAAATGTTAAAGCACTGAAGAAACTGAGAAAACACAACAGAACAAACAGTTCAGACCAAAGTGATAACTCTGTTTGTCTTTAGAAAGTGCACTCTTTTTCTGGTTTCATGATGTAAACATGCAAGAAAACCAATTGATTTTTGAGTATCCCAGCAGAAAAATTGAAAGAAGCAAATAGAGGAGTAATTTTCTTTCATATTATAACTTCTTATCTGTGCTTTAGGAAATGAAAGCACAGTGGGCAATGTTATTATTGGCTGTGTAACACAAATGTCTCAGCCCTGTTTCTGCTGGCTAGGGATCCATGCATGCAGCTGTTTCAGATCAATTAGTAGCATTATTTGTGCTCAATTAAATCAGCTCATTTACACTTTACAAACTAGACTAGTCATTACACCTCAAAGGCCTGTTCTGCTTTGTCAGGGAGTCAATGTAAGTCACAACAAAACCCCTTTTATCTCACAAAGTTCACTTATCTGGTGGAAAACAAATGCTATCAGAAGAGTCAGAAAAAAAAACACAATGAGGCTGAAATGTATGTACAATTTAAACACAATTAGCTTGTTTGAAACAATTACATGAAAGAGGTTGTAAGGAATGGTAACAAGACCAAAGGCTTTTAAAGTTGTCCCGAAAAGGGTCTTAATTCTTATTTGCTCCATAAAGTAAAAAATCTTCAGGCTTTACGCAAACGTTGAAGCAATTTTGGAGATTTAGCATGGAAAATAGCTATCGAGATTGTTCTGTACATTACAGTCGACTCGGAGAATAAACGTGTGTTTATAAAAAGAAGATAACGTAATAAAAAACGGGAAGCAGATTATAAAAACATAAACTTGCAGGACTCCTGTAACAAAAAATAATTGAAGGATACCACTTTTTTTCTTAAAAAAATGAAATTATACAGTACGTACCACTACCAGTTCCATGTTCCTGGCTCCCAGTGCCTTCTCCGTCTACTCTTCGTCCGCAAGTTCCAGATCCCTTCACCAGCTCTTCCAGGGGTAAATCGGAGTCTGGCTTTGGGTAACAGCGAAGCCCACTAGAGCATCTTGGGGTGTAGACCCCGCAGGATTCACCCTCTAGTCTAGCGCACACGGGACAGCACCCGCAGCCGTGCTCCCTCACAATCTCCAAGCAAGTTGTCACAAGCTTCGGACAGTCAGCCTGCCGCTCAGCGGAGCAGACGGGACAACGGAAAACCAAGTCACCTAGTACGGTGCCCGAGAATGCCACTGATGCCAACAGTAAGATGCTGCCAAAGAGAGAGACCATTTTGCCTTTAGCAAAATAATAATGGGTCCAAACTATGTCAGAGTTACTTCAGGTGTAAAGCTGAACTGGAGGCGGACAGGTGAAGATCAGAAATGCAATCTGCAGGGTCCTATCAACTGACGGGTTCGTCTATCTAAGCCATCTAGCGAAACGAACATAAAAGCACAGGGTCTGTAAATGGGGTACTTGTACCCGAATCAAAAGACATTGTATGGCGGTTGAATATTGGTTATTATCTAATTTTATTAATGTCATCTATGTATTAGCGTCATATCCTCATCTACTAGTGTAGTGCGGAAAATATTATTTTTAAGTTTTGTTTTTTAACTTGTTTAAAATAAGGATAACTTTTTTTATAAATAGACTGGAAGTGTAGTGGTAAAAAAGGATTACATAATGAAATATAAGGGGTTAAGATTTCATTTATTCTCAAGAATATAAGTCTAGCTGTTGCTTTCTTTAAAAACAATTTAATAATTACCCTTTACTTTTAGTTTTTGTAACACATAAATTCTTTCAAAACGCCCAAACTGTCTAATATTTCATTACTGTACTGAGAATAATTTAATCACCACTAATAAAAGCATTCTAAATCCCTTTCACGTCCAACGCAATACGTTTGTATGTTCAGAGATAATGCCTATAAGTAGTTAAATGCTTTTAAACATTGTAGAATATGTTGTAATTAATATTAACATTTCTCCAGGTAATTATCATATGATATTTAACTGAAACCTACTAGATTTGTTGCAAAACTTGTGAGATTCTTTAAGAAAAAAAAAAGACCTTTATATTATGAGGTAAATACCTCCTAAAATTAATGGTTCCATCATCTCTTTGAGACATTGAAGTGTATATTCTCTTTTGGGAGCCACAAGATTACAGTGGTTAAATTCTGTTTGTTGTGTATTGATTACCAAGGAAGAAAGCTTAGCCACCAGAACACTTAGCCACCAGAAAAAAGCTTCTATTAACCCATATACTGTAGTACAGCAGTTCATTTTTTTTGCCCTGGAGACTGATAATTGTTGATTTAAGCTTACAAAAATAGCTCCTCAATCTGAAACTTAATGCTCCCATGACAGGCTTGCAGATATAAATGAGGATTATTTTGTTTTGTGGGTGTCTACTGATTTCATGGCATTTATATATGTATGGTTTGCTGCCAGTTTTTCTTTGGAGAGCTTTAAAGAAAGAAGGGCTTTTGCAAGTCTAGTTTAAGCAGGAGTTAGATGGAGTTGGTGTTTGTATAGAACCTCATATGTCATTTAAAAAAAAAGAAACTGTACAAGAGCAACATTACAGTTTTATAAATATATTTAATGTACCATATCTGCAGAGAGACCTTTTAACTGACTATAATTTGTAAGGTAAAAAATGATAAATCACAGTTATACATCACAGATTATCAAACAAAACAGGAAAATATCTGAAGGCATTTAATGTATTACATGTATAAAGCTGATATAATAAATATAGAAAAATAGAAATATATATTGAAAATACATTTATAATGACATCCTCTATTCAGATCTTTTTGATTCAATGGCACCATATACAGCATTACTAAAACCTATTATTCGTTTAATCCAGATAAAATCAATCCTAAAATGTTTGACCATGTGTTAATGTTAAGGGCTTGATACTGGTCTACACTGAACACTTCAGGATGTCTTCATGGAATTGTAAACCCTTTTTTTAAATATTAAAATAATTGTGGAATTCATTTTTATTACACGTCTGTTTTTATTTAGAATTGTTTTTGTTGCTATAGCCACTCAGTTTGAGGTGTCCTACTTACTTTACCTTCAAATACACACCATCATGCCACAATGACCACCTCATGCCAGAGGTTTAAATCTGATCGTAGCGCCACATACATACAGGGTACAAGTGCCCGGGATGCTGCTGTAGTCTTTGTGTTCACTAAGAAGACATATATAGAGTATAGAGAGCCTTGGCCAGCTAATTTCACCCTACCCTCAGCAGCATTTAGTCAATTGTGCATCACTGTTTGAGGACTCCCAGTCATAGTTGACTAGTGACATGGCCCAGTCTTGAACATGCTGAATAATTAATCATAAACTTGGGAGGCCCCTTAATTGAGAGACATTTTCATTTACCTGTATAGTCTTGGACAGGTTTTCACTTCCTCCTGGCTTTTTTTCAAACTGTGATATTTAAGTCTTTCAAACAGTATAAGAACATGCAAACTGAGAAAGGGAAGGTCATGTTGCTCTTCTAACTCATTTTATTTATTTGTGTCATCAAATTAATTTCTGAAAGAATCCCGGAGAATCAGCTTTGTCATCTTTTCAGTTAATGAGAACTGAGATCTGAGTTTCCACTTGTGTTCTCTTGTTCATGTTTCACTGTTAAATTGGAAGAAGTCTACCAGGTCAACTTCATCATCAGTGTCTTTGAGGATTTTGAATACTTGAAATAAGTCCCCTCAAAATCTGTTCAGGGCTTAAAAAAGAATTAGTCTTGAAAAGACTTAAAGAATCAATTATTTTAGGATGTTAGCATATGAAATTCCTTTAAACGTTGGAATGTAACTGGTAAGTCTTCTTTGGCCTGATTCCAGAAAAAAAAAATTATAAAGTCATGATAGAAACCGTACACAATACACAAATACAATCTTCTAAATCTCTTGTACAATTTTGACATCCTTTGATTTATATTCTGTACTTTAATCTATATATCCTCTTACAAAGTATGCATTTTATAATTTTACTGTATTGTTTAAGAGAGGGAAAGTCTGCTGCCAACATGTAAGGCTCTGTACTTCTCTTGTCAGCAGCCAGGTATATGTCCAGTTCTGAATTTCATTTAAGTGTGTTTGAGTTTTCATCTATTTGTATTTATTATTTGGACTTAGTTAGCTTAATCATTAGACCACTGGTAAACAACCTCTTGTCTGTAAAGACAGGTGTAATACACATCTATAGTATTCAAAAATTGCTTTAGTTACACCCATCTATAAGGTAACAACAATCCACAGAGGTAAAAAAAAAACAAGCGAAGCAATTATAGACCAGCAGGTATTACCTTATATTACTGTTATGAAGACAATAATTACATTTAAACTAGAAGATCAACCATATGGAAATAGGATTATAGAGGATAGCCTACATGGATTTAGAAAAGGTATCCCTTACTTAACTAACTTATAAAAACTCTTTAAAAAAGCAACATCAGTAATAGATACAAACAGCGCATACAGTAATGGATACAAACTATACTTAGTTTTACATAAGGCTTTTGATAAAGTTCACATAAATGATTAATCTTTCAAGTAAAGATAATAGACATGCAGGATAATGTACTGTACAGTATTTGGATTGAGAGCTAGTTAATGGATAGACAACAGAGACTAATGGTAAAGATTGAATTCTCCAGTTGGAGTGTTGTGTTAATTGGAATACCTATGGGTCTATATTAGGAACAATGCTCTTCCTTTATATCAATTAATTTAATCAGTGGTCCTCAAAGCTGCACCCAAAGACAAATTAATGCTTATGAAAAAAGCCCAAAATGCTAAAAACAAGAAAAAACTTTATCTTTCTACAGCCCAAGGTATGTTCCTGACTTAAAAGAGATAATCTTCAGTAAAGACCAAGTGAAACATTCATTTTACACAGTAACCTTTTTCTTCTAAAACCTACCCATGATTATTTCTTAGGTGCTTTACTTTATCCATTCCTGTTTCATGCCGTTGTAATACAATTAATTGTAATAATTGTAATGCTGTTGTTACATTGAGTGGAGGCAAATAAAGTTTTTATAAGCAATTACTAACACTAATACTGTTAAAATTGTTTTGGCTTTTTGAACTGTCTTAACTGTATCTGTGCATGTGTTTCATAAAACATTTTAACAAATTCTAAATCAGATCTGAATATTATACCCCCATAATATTGTACTAATGTTATTTGGCATAGTCTAATCTATTTTAGCATGCCCTTAAATCAGTAACACATCTTAACCTTGTTGCAATTTACTGCGAGGATCACTGGCTATATTCTAGTATAATTAGTAAATAAGGATAATTGACAAATACAAAAAAGGGATATTAAGCAAAATCTGTAGAACCTGTAAAAGATATTCAGAAAGATCATCCATCCATTTTCTAATCGCTTTATCCAATACAGGGTTCCAATACAATCCAGTAGGGGAGTTGGATCCTATCCCAGCAAGCAAGAGTGCAAGGCAGGATACACCTTGGACTATACACCAGGCCATCACAAGATGCATACAGACACAAACACACACCCCACATCCAATTTTCCCAGAAGTCATTTAACCTAGTAATATGTTTTTGGACTGTGGGAAGAAATCCACAAGAACAGGGGGATAACATAAAACACCCCAGGAATAGCTGCAATGCTAAATCCTGTGCCAATCTCAGAATGAGCAAGTAAATGAAAATTAATATAGATTATTCCAGAGTACTATATACAGGTAACAAAATTATAAATGTTCAATAACAGATGCATTAAAAAAGCAAGATACTGTATGAAAAAGACATGTTTATGTTGATATACTATTTCATCTTCTATACAATGTGGGGAAGCAAAGGACAAACAATGTTACAATAAACAGTTACAACTGCTGATTTTAACACAAGGGATACTATGTTAATGTACAGTAAGACATCATTTAAAATACAATGTTCACCATTTTATACCATCTGTTACTGAACATTTGAAGAAAAAAAAGAGGAAAATGTTTTCTGGATTCAGTCCAGAAAAGAGAGACTAGATGCATTCTGAAGCTAGAATGGAAGTATAAAGGAAATTAATCTTTTTAGTTTTGCACAGTCTTGAAGTGGACCTGATTCAAGTATTCAGACACTGAAAAAGTTAACCCAATGGACATCTTTAGAGTTGCAGATAAAACAGCAGAGGACACAATTGGAAATTATGGAGATGTTCATTTAAAAATGAGACTAGAACTAGCTGTGGGTGTCTACAGCAAGCTACCCAGCCATGTTGTTGAAGTTAACACCCTAATACTGTATCTTTCATGAAATAATTTGTGAAAATCTTCAGTGAACTAGATTCTGGTATTGTTATTAAGCTATTCATTTTTGCACATGATACCATGTTAAGAGGATTGGCAAAC